TTGAACCGCCAGCCTTCTGGTTAATAGTCAGATGCCTTAGGCACTACGCCACCAGAGATCCCTCCCAACAGATACAGACTTTTGCTTATCACTACATGATTTGGAGACCTAGCATCTGACACATTTACAACTTCACTGCTGACCAATTTCTTATGACAACAGAATCCTGGTTTTCAAAGAGATGCTGGTGGTCTGGGGTCCTCATTCATGGATCCATTTGCCAGTGTGTGTAGGCGCATACTCAGGAAGGTGGAGGTGAGGGATAAAAACAGGGAGTCTTTGTCTTCACGGTGCTCAGAGTGTGGAGGCAGAGAAGGGGGCCCAGCCTGTGCTGTCTCTGGGAGCTGGAGGACAGGAAGGCAGAGAGGCTCTCCACAAACCGTGGGGAAGCGGGAGGATGGACAAACACAGCCCAGGGGAGGGCATGATGTGCCACCTGGTGGAGTGAGGAATGGGCCAGGGAAGGCTCCTCAGAAGGGCTCAGGAGGCAGCTGCCAGGCCAGGTGGTTAGGGAGGAGGCCTGGGAGAAGGGAGGAGGATGAGGGGATTCAAGGCACAATCAACAGTGTGACAAGAATATAATGGCGAGAAACAGCCTGGCAGCCTTGAGAAACCATAGGTGGTTAAACGTGACAGAGCTCATGATGCAGGATAAACAGAAAAGGTGGCAGAGTCAGGACGTGTGGCCAGGGTCCAGAGAATGGACACGTAGCGTACCACGAGGAGGCGTTTGGACTTATATTGTGGCCTGTCATCCCTGAACTGTTGGAACATGCACCCCTATCAATGAAATAATATTTAAACATGTTGTTGTTATGTTGTTGTTGTTGTTAGGTGCCGTCGAGTTGGCTCCGACTCCTAGCAACTCTGTGTACAACAGAACACAACACCGCCCAGTCCTGTGGCAGCCTCACAGTCATCGCTATACTGAGCCCATTGTTGCAGCCACTGTGTCAACCTATCTCATTGAGGGCCTTCCACTTTTTTGCTGAGCCTCCACTTTACCAAGCATGATACCCTATTTAAGCATACAACCCTAACATACGTCTATATTCATACATTATATGTATAT